GGTATATGTAAGGTGGGAGGAGTTGGATGTGGATCCAACCACGCCCCCTGGATCTTGTGTTCTGCAGTGAGGAGTGAGGGGCTCAGAGCGCTGGGTTCATTCCCCAAATAGAAGGTAAGGTAAGGATTGACAAAAGCGGAAGGCCTTTCATTAAAAAGAGATTGCAATCGACAGCAACAAAAAAACCCGCGCAATCCCCCTCCACTCCCGCTGTCTGGCTGATTTCTGTGTCTGTGAGTTTACGCGCTGAAATGAGCAAACGCCTCCCGATTATAACGTGCATTTGACAATGCCAAACATCTTCAAGGAGAAGCATTTCTAAACCTGCTGTTCAACAAAGGAGAATGTTATAACATGTTTTACTCCACAACATCAGTCAAGTGTTTGAAATAACCTTTTGTGATCTGATGTGGCTTCTTATCACAGAATGAGGCAGAAAATATATTCTATACTGTCGATTAGCAATGGATTATAAATATACATAATTAATTATGAAAATAGCCGAGATGGCTTGAAGAACACATATAAACTATATTCCATTCGCAGTCCAGTGTTTACTGTCCTCACGTTTTATCTTTGTCCTGGAGCATCATCAGTTCTATTATTTCTGTGATGCACATGTGGATTTTCTGCGCGAGGGCGCCCTCTGGCGTCCAGTATGAATGAAACAGACATTACATGTGTTTACAGCACTAAATAATGGCCAATCCATAAAATAAATATATAAATAAATAATACTTCTCTCTCCCTCTCTCTCTCTCTCTCTCTCTCTCTCTCTCTGAAAAACAAAATAAAAATAAATATTGAAGTAGACATGATAGTCCATGTTTTTCTACAGTGTACAGAAGTGTAGTAGAGTTTTTTTTTTTTAATAAAATTTCAAATCGCAGAAAAAAATACTCTGATGTGCCAAGCCATGAGAACCGAACCGAAAACTCTGGATAAAGGTGTGTGTGACTGAGTGCAGACCACTGATCTATATAATGTTCTCTATTATAGATCAGTGGTGCAGACCTGCTAACCTTTGGAAAATATTTAAAGGGTTAGTTCACCCAAAAATGAAAATTAGCCCACAAATTACTCACCCTCAAGTCATCCTAGGTGTTTATGACTTTCTTCTTTCAGACGAATCCAGTCGGAGTTATATTAAAAATTGTCTTTGATCTTTCAAGCTGTTTAATGCCGCTCAGCGGGTGTTGCATGCATCAGTCCAAAATAAGTTAAATAAAGAGCGCCCATCCATAAAAAAAAGTGTCTCACACGGCTCTACACAAACAGGAACAAAGGCCTCCTGTAGCGAATCGATACGTTTTTGTAAGAAAAATATCCATATTCAAAACGTACACTTTAATGT